TATATATATATATATATGTGTGTGTGTGTGTATATGTATATATGCATGTATGTATATGTATATATATATGTATATATTAGTGCTGCATGATTAATCTAATCGCAATCGCGATGTCAGGCTGTGCGATTACATAACCGCATAAAAGGCTGCGATTTGCGATTTAATGTAAATAAATGTTAACGTGTGTGCCTGTGAACGTGACTGCCTCTCCTGTAGTGTGTGGAGTTTGTTGACATCACGCCCACAAGCTATCCTGGTGTGTGCAGCCGGCATGCAGCAGTGACCAACACAGATGCTGAAGAAGAGCATGAGCACGAGCATGAACAGGCTGAGTTGGTGGCGAAAAAAACGTCTGTTACATGGCGATACTTTGGATTCAGGTACGGCGGCGTTGAACAGAAAGACGTGCTGTGTAAAAGTTTAAAAGTTAAAGTCGCCACGTCCCACACACTGTCTGTCCATAATAATAACTATGTCAGGTCAGTGCCCCCCTAATAAAATGTAGGGGAAACATTGAATCAAGCAAAAAGACTCATGATACCATTGGGTATAACGCGTTACAAAGTAACGTGTTAGAGTACTTTGATTACTTTTTGCAGTAACGAGTAACCTAACGCGTTAGTTTGCTGTTTGAGTAATCAAATACTTAAGTACATTTTCAAACAAGACATCAGTTATTTCCGTTACTTTTAGAACGCTGGTCCTTCAGCTCCAAAACAGCAACGGCTGTCATTTGGTTCTAATAACGGAGATAACGTTAAACCTATCGATCTGAAAGAAGCCACGGAGCTTGTGGCTCGCTACGTGGTCGGAGAAATGCTGCCGTTGTCTAGGGTGGAGTCTAAATAGGTGGAGTAGGACTTGCTGACAGACATATTTCAGACTCAGGCCAATAGTATGTCACTGCAGATTCAGACCCGCAGTTCTGGACCCGCAGTTCTAGACCCCTTGTTTTTCGCGACAGTGTCCCCTACTGGATGGCTGTATAACTGCAACTAAATCAGCGTCTCATCCAAACACCACTGTTTGAAAGAAGTTACACTTTTAATGCTTTATTACAATTTACAATTTTAAAATTTTATTACACCCGAATTAAAATACCAAGATTTAATTGTTGATTTATGCCTGGGTGCTGTTCTGCATTATTATTGTTTGCTGGTTGTTTTGTATGGTTTGAGCCAACTATTTTAGTTCTTTATTTCTTAATATTCATCAGACTGCTCTGACTGGCACGCCAGAAACTTGCACTGCATTGGTCAAACCCGCTACAACATATAATAGGAAATGTCTGGTCTTGGGTTTCCAGTCCTCACTTTTGTTGTGGGAATTTGAAACAAAGGCTGTGAAATACAGAAATGGTTTGAAATGTTTTATTGTGTGCAGTGGTTACATCACACATCAGGGAGATCTGCAGAGAAAAAAAAGAAATCAAACATATCACAAAATTGAAAACAGAAACACTTAAAAAAAAATACCTATCACAGTCTACACTGAAATACTGAAGATTCTGGAGCATAGCAAATACATTATTATATCGACATATTAACAACATTACCTACCATTTGAATAGTGCCCCTTCCTTCCTCATCTGCCTTTCAATCCTCCGACAAAACTCCTCCACTTCACTGTAAAGGTAAACAGACAACATAATAATAATAACAATAACAAGCTAAACTGTTACCTACTACTTTAACCCATATTTGACGTGCCTTTCAGACTATCGTGGTAAAGACAGTCATATCATTTTAAACGTATCACTGTAAAACATCAATTTCGCTGTCTAATTAAGGTCAACAAAATAGTTTGATGGCATTAAACAAATAATGTGATTCACATTCAATACTCACACTCGGATCGTCGTCGTCCATATTCAATAGTTGCAATAGTATATTGGCTTCCAATGAAATAGAGGGTGCTGTTGCGAAATACAAGGGGTCTAGAACTGCGGGTCCAGATCTGCAGGTCTGAATCTGCAGTCTCCAGGTCTGCAGACACACCCTCCTTGACTCAGGACTTGCATTATGCCTGGTACACGCTACACGCTGGTACTCACCAATTATCCCCGGTCATCTTTCACGGCGTGTGTGATGTCATCGGGTTATTCTTGACCTGTTTTTATTACTTTGACTATTATTTGAGTCACTGCCAGAACTGTGTCTGTTCCATAGACTGTATAAAAATATGTGCCAGCTGACATGTTGTTGTAGTCACCTAAAAGCGTCAGCAGATATATATATGTATATATGTGTATATATATATGTGTGTGTGTGTGTGTGTATATATNATATGCGCTTTCAAGATGCAAATATCTCCATATTGATCTTAGATGTAAATACTGCATGTTTCTTTCAGATAAAACACATGTTTGACTTGTGAATGAGTCAATGGAATATGTTGCAATAATGAAAAAATACTGGCAATCATGTCCGCCTGGCACAAACCACATGTTTTGGACAACTGTGAAGTGACAGAATGTACCAGCATCATGGTTCTTATATTGCCAGATTCCAGAGAGTCTCCCCTCTTCAGATATGGCAGAATATGTCATTTTCCAACTTGCTATGCTGAGATACATGTAAAAATGTAAGAATTTAGTCACACAGATTTGTTTTTTCATTGATATAAAAATTAATATAAAATACAGGCACATAGAAGGACATGAAATGATGGCAAATCTGGTTAGCCCAGATTGTCCTGAAAAAAACAAGATATAGCATGTGTATGTAGCCTTTATAATGACTGTGATATGAGCTTAAAAGTAAAGGCAGTAAAAATACCCCAAAAATGCCTAGGGTCCATAGGGTTAAGTTGTATTTGGAATCATTTGAAACAGGTACTCTGCCTGATACATTTAATGATGCATTAATTTCTCTTATCCCTAAAAAGGACAGAGATACATCAGACCCATCTAATTTCAGACCCCTGAGTCTACTTGGGGTGGATCTTAAAATCCTGACAAAGACAATTGCGTCACGTTTAGAGAACGTATTACTAGACGACATAGGCGGTGATTAAGTGGGTTTTATTAAAAACAGGTCCTCAGTTGATAATATACGAAGACTTATGCATCTCACATATATGAATCGCTCTAACCCAGTACCGGTCGCGGCCTTCTCGCTTGATGCTGAGAAGACTTTTGACCGGGTGGAGTGGAGGTTTCTCATGGTAACTCTTTCAAAATTTGGTTTTGGGCCTGGCTTCTGTAATTGGGTTAAAATACTCTATTCCAATCCGAGAGCAGTTGTTCTCACAAATGGGCTGATATCAGATTTTTTCTGCCTTTCTAGGGGACAAGGTAGGGCTGCGCCCTCTCCCCACTGCTTTTCACCATAGTGCTAGAACCACTGGCTTCAGCAATTAGAGCTAATGTAAGAATTAAGCGTGTGCATGCAGGGGGGAGGGAGCACAAGCTGTTTATGTATGCTGATGATATTTTGGCAGTGATAGCAGATCCTGCCTCCTCTCTGCCGGTGTTATTGGAATGCATTGACTCATATTCTAAATTGTCAGGTTATAAGATAAACTGGCATAAATCAGAGTGTATGCCTTTATTGAATACATGCCACTCCAGTTATGTCACTTAATTTAATTTCAAATGGATGCCTTCAGGTATGAAATATCTGGGCATTCAATTAAATCCAAATTTAGATGAAGTAATGCTGTCAAATATGGAACCTCTCCTTCAAAAGATAAAAATGAATCTGGACAAATGGGGAAAATTGAAGCTTACTCTTTGGGAAAAATTAACGTGATAAAAATGGTGGTTGCCCCACAATTCAATTACATTTCCATGATGTTGCCTGTTAGCATATCACCACAGCTGTTTAAACAATTTGACAGGATTATCAAAGACTTTTTGTGGGACAAGAAGAAACCAAGGATCAATATAAAGAAAATGTGGTCACCAAGGAACATAGGAGGGATGGCTCTACCCAATGTTAGGCTATACAATCTGGCATTTGAAATGTCCAGATTGACTAAGCACTGGAAGGGAATTGAACCAGAACTGAGTTGGATTAATATCGAACAGGAGCTTGTAAGTCCCTTCAAGCCTTTGGACGTGCTTTCACATGGTTCAACCACTAACGGACAGGATTGCTTTTCAAACCCAGTACTGGCTCATTCTAAGGCAGTCGGAGAGAAGCACACAGGATGTGTGGTGTGTCGCACTTAAGACAATCATATGCCTCTATATGGCATAACCCTGCCATAAAGATCGGGAAAAGGACTGTCTATTGGTATGAATGGCTTATAAAAGGGATACACAAGATAGGTGACTTATATTTGGACGGAGTTTTTATTTCATTTTCTGAACTTAAGCAAAAATATAATTTGGAAAGTAAAGATAATTTTTGGAAGTACTTATAGATTAGAGACTATATAACTAAGGGCCAATTTATTCAGGGCAAGAGTCCAGTGATGGAATTTCTGGAACTGCCTTGTATAGCACACAGGGCAGCTGTGTTTTACAAAATCTTAAGTGGATTACAAAAAGATATTTGTAAAAATCTTAGGACCATCTGGCAGAAGGACCTTGGGTGTGACCTGAGAGATGAGGTCTGGCTAAAAATATTATCAAATACTGGGAAATGTATAAAGGAGGCTGGGGGGAAATTTACTCAGTGTAGGATAATACATAGGTTTTATTTTACCCCTTTTAAGCTCCACAGAATGGGTTAAATGGTTAATAACCTATGCTGGAAATGCCAGACTGATTATGCCTACTGGGGGACCAAACAGAGCTACCCAATATATCAAAATACGACCTTGCAGTGATAAAGGTAGGGGTGGTTACAGCTGCCCGAATGATCCTCAGATTGTGGAAAAGTACATCCTCTCCAGATATTAAAAAATGGATGGAATCAATGTTAGAGGTCGTATCATGTGAACACATGTTGGCTAAGATCAGTGATGACACTGAGAACTTTAAGAGGTCATGGGACTGCTTTCTTGCTTGTAACACTGCTGTGACACTGTGATGATCTAACTGGCTGCATTGATATCAGTATAATGGTTGACTGTCTATTTTGGTTGTTCTGAATACTATAAGTATTTATCACGGGCCTTTGGATGTCTTGTAACTAAAAGTAATACTGTCTGTTTATATATGTTATGTTTAAAGAAATAAAAACTTTAATGATAATAAATAAAGATAAACTCCATGTTGTGCCCACCCATGTATGACGATGGAGAGTTAGAGATTTATAGTGTGAAAATGCCCTAATTCTGAAATAAATAACTGAGAAGCCCATACATATTTACCACATAAATGCAGAGTGGATTTCAGGCTTCAGAATATTTTTTGTTTGAAATAAATTGGTCCAGCAGACACCAAGATATGTTAGTCAAAACCTGAGCAAGCAAACAGGCAGCACCACACGGAGGTGGGACACAGTGAGGCTTGTAAAGTTTACATACCTCTGAAATGACGACGGTCTTCTCTTTAAGGCGTAAAATTCGGAGGTCCTGCACCCACCCAAAGTTTGCTTGCCCATGAGCCCTTAAAGATTTGGCATTCCTAAATTCATCGCCGGTATAATAACTTATACCGTTGATGAGATAGAGGACAAGCTCAGCTTCAGTCAACAGCGGCAGGGCTTTTAAATCCAGAGTCCAGTCTCCATGCTCATACGGATCCACTCCACCTATTTTCTGGATTTTGTCAAGGTACCAAGCCTTTGGAACAGGATCCAGCTTGTCTCGGTACCGTCCGACACACTTTTCCTTTGCCCGGTCCATTTAAATCTCGCGAACGTTAACCAATTAGTCTAACGCCTTTGGATTTATATTTAATTTGTCCATTTGTCTTTGTTTCATTCAGTCATTTTCACAGGTTGTTGTGAGCTGTAACACATTTGGTAACAGTGTGTGTCTGTGTGTGTCCAGCTGCAGGATGGACATGTCCAGTAGGCTGGCGGTGTGGCAGCAGCTGGCTGAGAGCTGTGGTGTCAGTACAGTCCAGCAGGGCCTGCAGCAGGTCTGGAGGCTGCTGCTGCTCTGCCTCATCTGCAGACTCTGTTTCAGACTGGGTGAGCTGCACTGAATGTATATCTACAAGTAGGCTCCTACTTCCACCACAAGAAGGCTCGTCTTACATATTTTTGATATAGGCTAGTTTAAAGCATATTTTGATATTGTCTGTACTGACATGCTGAGATAATGTTGCTTGATTACAACACCACACCTATCCAAGGTTGTATGTAGATATTTTGCTACCTTGTTACAAATAGTAACAATGACAATGAAAAAGAAAGACTTTGCAAACTAGTTACAAGATTTTCTGTGTCTTACATGTTTATCGCACCTGTCTAGAATCAACGCGAATTCAGCCAGTTTTGATGTGATGTGTTTTAGTCAGATGTAAGTCTCATTAAGGAAACGAGGCTGTAGGACCTGATCATAATCGAGATGTCTTCTTGCTTGTGTTCTTCAGGAGGTGTGTCCACTGTGAAACATGTCGTGTCAGTGTTGGCCGGGATGTATGGCCTCTTCCTGTTTTTTGAGCTGCACATGCTGTGGGTGCTGTTACTCAGTGTGCTTTGTTACCTCGTTCTGCTCCTCAGCCGACACTCCAGCAGCAGAGGCCTCTTCCTCTCGATCGTCATCCTCATCTACCTCCTCATTGGGTGAGAAAACACTGCAAAAGACACATAGTTCCAGTAACTAAAATTAATAATTGGAGTTTTTAAATAAAACAGACAAAATCACTTGTTAGTCAATTAAAGCAGTATGACACTTGCACCTCCAATAGTGGTGACTACATGCTTTGTCCATACTGTGCAGCAGTAATGTAATGTTGCAAACTGCAACATCACGCTAAGGCTGGGGGACAGGGAAAAAAATCCAACATAATATTTTTGACGAAATACCCCAATATTAATTTTGTGAAGCTATTATAGGGTTGACTGTTGGTACTCTCACACAATGAGATTTGTGTGGATACAATGACTTGGTCCATAAAGCCAAATAACAGAATAACGAGAATAGTCTGGTCAGTTCAGAGAATGACATTAGTGTTGCCCTGTGAGGCGAATTTTGATTTGTGATATTGGGCTTTATAAATAAAATTGATTGATTGATTGATTGACTGTACTGTAATGCTGCCTTGATACTCTGAGTCAAACCCTGAACTCTGAGCTGACTAACCCTGAGATGGAAAACTCAGAGTTTTCGGTTTCAGAACAGCTGACCAGAGTCAGTTTAATCACTCAGAGTATGTTAACTCTGAGTTAAGTTTGTGAGATTTTAAAGCTGACTTCACACATTTATCTTATTAAAAAAAGCCTGAGCCAGAGCAAGGTAGGGGCAATAAGTTTACACAAAATTTTATTTAGTGTTGCCCATTAATTCATCATTAAGGCATTTTAGATCTATTTGTTCAGCTTTAATCTGACGTGGACAAAACACAGGACCAACTGTGTGTGTGTGTGTGTGTGTGTGTGTGTGTGTGTGTGTGTGTGTGTGTGTGTGTGTGTGCGTGCGCATACATATATACACTGCAGAAAAATATAAACGCAACACTTGTTTTTGCTCCCATTTTTCATGAGATGAACTCAAAGATCTAAAACATTTTCTATATACGCAAAAGACCATTTCTCACAAATATTGTTCACAAATCTGTCTAAATCTGTGTTAGTAAGCACTTCTCCTTTGACAAGAAAATCCATCCCACCTCACAGGTGTGGCATATCAAGATGCTGATTAGACAGCATGAATATTGCACAGGTGTGCCTTAGGCTGGCCACAATAAAAGGCCACTCTGAAATGTGCAGTTTTGCTTTATTGGGGGGGTCTGGGGCATAGACTGTATAAAATAATGGACGTAGTCACCGTGACGTCACCCATCTGTTTCTGAAGAATGGATTTGAAGCTCAAAATACTCCGCTCTGGATGTTGCCATCTTGGCAGCGCCTGACTCCGCCCGACTCCCCGACAATCAAAAATGGGCAAAGAGGCGGGCCAAAGGAAGCCTGGTTGCCTAAACAAGCCCACCTTGCTAGGCGCTGCTAAGTTAGCTAAGGCTAACAAGCCAGGCTAAGAAGCTACGAGGCTAAGAAGCTACGAGGCTAACAAGCTACGCTACTTTGGCAAGCCCTGTGGTGTCGGCTGCTCCCGCTTGGTGCCAGCTCCCTCACAAAACTTGAGGTAAATTGAGTTTACCTGAAACTAACGTTATACAACAAATCTTGAAACAATGATTCAGCTGTTATTCAGATTACACAATCTTAAAAAACGCTTCAACATTTTTAAATATTGAATGCTAACGTTAATTATGGTAACGTGACACTGATAAAAGTCGAAGGGGACTGAAATGTATCTGTAACGTTAACGTTACTGTTATCAACAGCGCATTGCGAGATTATCATCTAGAACATGATAAAGAAATGTAGAAATTGTGAAAGAAAGGCAGTGTTATACTTGGTACAAGATGTTAATTTCTTTCAGTACATCACCGGTGTTGAGGTCATGGCCACTTGTTAACGTTATGTCTCCACCACGCCTGCTACACACAGCAGAAACTGTAAGTACCAGTTTTGGCTACTTGACTTTAGACAGCTAATATTACATTGTCTTCCAAGGACAAAAAGAAAGCATTTAAAAGACTGTCATCTACATTTTGAGGTGTTGCTCCCTGTTTTATTTTATCCTACATTTGTGACATAATAGTATTGTCAACAAAAAGAAGTGATACACCCTTTATAGTTAACTTTCTGTTTTTAATTGCCTAAAGCATTTATTACACTCATTTTACTTTCATATGCACAGTGTGGAGCATTGGTCACAGCTATGTCCGACGTGATGTCCAGAGAGCTGCAGAGACCTTGGGAAGCACCCTCAGCATGCCGGGCGTCCGTGTCTGCTGGTTTGGCTGGGGTGGACTGCAGTGGAGAGGCCTTTTCTCCTTCTTTTCCCACTCCCTGCGAGGAAGAGCAGCACCAGATGTCCTCTTCATCCACTGTGGCGGCAATGACATGGGGAAGGTCAGCAGTGTCAAGCTGGTCAGTATGATGAAGGAGGACCTGCACCAGCTTCACCTCCAGCATCCTGGCATTAAGATAATATTTTCTTCATTGGCCCAAAGGTGCAGGTGGGAGGCTGGTGGCAATCCAGCAAAGATTGATAAGGCCAGGAAATGTGTTTACAGTGTTATGGCTACATTTGTTCATAGTTTAAATGGTGCCATAATTGAGCACCCTCACATCAGACACATTCATCTCACACCTAGGAGAATTTATATGTTTTTAAGTAAATTAGTTAATTGTCTTAAAGACCACCTCCAAA